TAAATATTAAAATGCATTTTAGGAATTCAATTATTTTCAAAAAAATTCAATAAAATACCACACAGACATTTAATTATTGTCAAAAATTTTAATAGAATTCTTTGTGAAATTTAATTTTTTAAAAAAAATTTTCTCAATTCAATGTTTTTCAATATCTACTATTTTTATAAAATTTCCAAACAGAATTCAATTTTTTAACAAATTTGTTGTAAAAATCTTCGTAAAAATTTAATTCTTTTCATGAATAATAAAAATTTCTCTGGATTTCAATTATTTTTATTAGAATTTGCATAAAATTAGTCAAAAAAAAAAAAATCAATTATTTAAGAATGTTTATAAAATTCTTCGCAAGAATTAAATTATTTTTTTTTAATATTTGAATTCTTTCATGAATAAGAAAATTCGTTGCAGGAATTCAATTTATTAGCAGGTTAAGAAAGAGGTAAATATTTTTTGATGAAAATTAGGAAAAAATCAGGAAAATAAAATATAGAATGGAATTTTTGTCAGTTTTGTGAAGTGTCTAAAACGAGTTTTTTTTTGGTCAAGTTTAATTTTTCGATAGCTATACTTTTTACTACTTTTTTTAGTTTAAAAGCTACTTTTTGCTTCTTTTTTAAAATTAATTATCGAGTACGAAGTCTGGAATTCTGTAGAATAAATTTTTTTCAAAACGTTTAATGGAATTTTTTTTTAATTATTTGAAATTTTTAATTTCTAATATATATATTTAATTATTGAAGAATGTCAGAATAATCGAAATTTCGTAAAAATAAATTGTAAGCTAGAAAAAAATTTGATTTTCTTTTTCCTGATTGTCAGAAAGTATTTTGACTTTTTTCCTGACCTTACAGAATGTTCTGATTCAATCTCGAAATGACTCGAGATAAGCCAGTTATTATCACAAGTGTTCTATAAATGATCTCCGTTTTTCATAGAATAAGTTTTTCATTATAAAAAGTCCCTCTAGTTTACTTGATACTTTTCTATTTATTTCCTCACGAAACTATATAATTCTCGAAACTTAATTTATTTAAAGTGAAACTTGAATAGTTTCAGAAATGAGTCATAATAATTCAGTGATTTTATTGTCTCGGTAAACGCTTTTCTTTATGAATGTTGAGAAACATGAAAATGTAATTTATTCCCATTGAAAGTGGAAACACTTTGAGAAATAAAATTTAAAGACCTTTTATAAGATAAAAGTCAATTTTAAAAGTCTTAAAACGCAATGGATTTCTCTTTTATAAAATCGCGGATATTTTCTTTCGATACTTAATTTTTAAATTCAAGTGTCAGAAAGTTTAACTTTTTTTTTTTAATAAAATTCCAGGTCAACTATGAGATTTGCTTTGAAATATCATACTATCCCATCTGAATTTCAATGAAGATTCTCGCTCACAAAACAAAGGGAAATAATTTTTATTTTATTCCTTTTTTTTTTTTTTTGAAAAAAACGCAAACAGTTTCATAAGAATATTAATTAATTCATTATTCTTGATAGCGATTTCATTTGGCTTTAGAGAATGAAAGTTGTCGTATTCTAATTCGGAGAGATATTGGAGCAAGCAATAATTATTAATTCAAAAAACTTTCTTTAATCTTAATTCACCCATTTTTCCAGTGGCTGAGTGTTTCCCTTGAATTTGTGAAAAAAAATATTCTGAATTAAATTTTAGAATTTCCACTACTTTAAATTCACTAATACTAGAAATTAAAAAACTATTCTCAAAAAATATAATCAAATTCTTTAAAACCATTCAATTATTTTCAAAAAATATCCAAAATTCAATAATTAAGAAAAAAATGATAAAACTCAATTCAGTTTAATTATTTTTATAATTATAATAAAATTCTCACAAGAATTCAATTAGTTTAGAATAGTATTTTCAAAAAAATTTCGAAAAAATCAATTATTTTACAAAAATTTTTATACAATTTCTTCACAATAATTAAAATAGTTTCACTAATAATTTTTGATAAAATGTTAAGCAAGAATTCAATTATTTTCATTAATAATGAAACTCATATAAGAATTTTAATTTTTTTAATACTATTTTAAATTAATTAATCGAAAAATTCAATTATTTTCACAACTAAAGTTTTTCACAAGAATTCAAATATTTAAAATAAAATTTTCATAATATCTATTATATTTCGAAAAAATTAATTATTTAAAACAATGTTTATAATATTCTTAATTATGAAGAATTCTATTGCTTTCAAAAATAACAAAATTTTTTACAGAAATTAAATTCTTTTTAAACATTTTTTAATAAAATGTTTCGCAATAATTTAATTATTTTCATAAAGAATAAAATTCTTCTCAGGAATTCAATTATTTTTTTGAAAATTTTAATAAAATTAATAGCAACAATTCAATTATTTTCATAAATAATAAACTTCATCTCAGGTTTTCAATTATTTTTAATACAATTTTACAAAAATTTCTCCAAAAATGTAATAATTATTCTTAAAAATTTGTTTTTAATTCCTTGAAAGAATCAATTATTGATATAGAATGTTTAAAATTCTTTGGAAGAATTCAATTATTTACAAAAGGATAAGAATTTGTCACTGGAATTTAATTATTTTCAAATATTTTAACAAAATTGTTCGAAACAAGTCTATTATTTTAAAAACAATTTTAATTAAATTTTTTTGAAATAAATTTAATAAAATTCTTTGCAAAATTCAATTATTTTCATAAACAACAATATTCATCACAAGAATTCAATTATTTTTAATAATAATAAATTTCTTCTTGGAAATTCAATTATTTAAAAAAATTCTAATAAAATCGTCCGCAAGAATTTAATTATTTTCATAAAGAATAAAATTCTTCTCAGGAATTCAATTATTTTTTTGAAAATTTTAATAAAATTCTTAGCAACAATTCAATTATTTTCATAAATAATAAACTTCATCTCAGGTTTTCAATTATTTTTAATACAATTTTACAAAAATTTCTCCAAAAATGTAATAATTATTCTTAAAAATTTGTTTTTAATTCCTTGAAAGAATCAATTATTTAAATAGAATGTTTAAAATTTTTTGGAAGAATTCAATTATTTACAAAAGGATAAGAATTTGTCACTGGAATTCAATTATTTTCAAATATTTTAACAAAATTGTTCGAAACAAGTCTATTATTTTAAAAACAATTTTAATTAAATTTTTTTGTAATAATTTTAATAAAATTCTTTGCAAAATTCAATTATTTTCATAAACAACAATATTCATCACAAGAATTCAATTATTTTTAATAATAATAAATTTCTTCTTGGAAATTCAATTATTTAAAAAAATTCTAATAAAATCGTCCGCAAGAATTCAATTATTTTCATAAATAATAAAATGTTTTTTAAGAATTCAATTATGAAAAATAAATGTTAATAAAATGCCACGCAGTCATTTAATTATTCTCAAAAAATTTAATAGAATTCTTTGTAAAATTTAATTATTTTTAAAAACTTTTCGCAATTCAATGATTTGTAATATCTACTATTTTCATAAAATTTCCAAACAGAATTCAATTAATAAAAAAAAATTTTGTAAAAATCTTCGTAAGAATTCAATTCTTTTCATGAATAAAAGAAATTTCATAGGAATTTAATTATTCAAATAAGAAGTTGCATAAAATCCTTCTTAGAAATTTAATTGTTTTTGAAAATTTTAATGTAATTCTTAGCAAAAATTCAATTATTTTTATAAATAATAAAATTCATCTCAGGATTTTAATTATTTTAAATACAATTTTACAGAATTTGCTCAAAAAATGTTATTATTCTTAAAAGTTTAATTTTAATTCCTCGAAAGAACCAATTATTTTAAAAAATGTTTTTAAATATACTTTGGAAGAATTCAATTATTTACAAAAATATTAAAATTTTTCACAGGAATTCAATTATTTAAAAATATTTTAATAAAATTGTTCAAAAAAATCAATTATTTTAAATATAATTTTAATTAAATTTTTTGAAATAATTCAATTACTCCTTTAGATTTTAATAAAATTCAAAATTATTCAAAAATTCAATTATTTTGAGGCTTTTTCATAAAATTCAATTATTTTCATAAATAACAATATTCATCACAAGAATTCAATTATTTTTCAAAGTAATAAATTTCTTCTTGGAAATTTAAATATTTAAAAAAATTTTAATAAAATCGTTCGCAAGAATTCAATTATTGTCAGAAGTTTTAATTGAATTTTTTTGTAAAATTTAATTATTTTTAAAAATTTTTTGCAATTCAATGATTTTTAAATATAAATTTTTATAAAATTTCCAAACAGAATTGAATTATTTAAAAAATTTTATAAATTCTTCGTAAGAATGAAATTATTTTTATATATATTTAAATTCTTTCATCAATTATAAAATTTGTTGCAGGAATTCAATTTATTATCAGGATAAGAGAGAAGTTAATATTTTTGATGAAAATTAGGAAAAAGTCAGAAAAATAAAATATAGAATTGAATTTTTGTTATAGTTTTGTGAAGTGTCTAAAACGAGTTTTTTGTTTTTTGTCGTCAAGTTTAATTTTTTGATAGCTACTTTTTTTCAGTAAATAGGAAAGTAAATATTACACTTAAAATTAAATAAACTTTACTTTTTTTGTATAGTAAAATTTATACGATTCGATTTTTCATTTCTGTTTTGACCCGATTAGAAAGATTAAAAATTATTCCGAACATGAAAAGTGAAGTAAATAATTGAATAAAAGTCCAAATCAACAATTTCCCACATTTCCGAGAAAAAAACACGTATTTTTCGAATTTTACAATTAAACTCGCAGAAAAGTGAATTTGTTTTTTTTTTCTTTTGTTCAAGCGCACAATATGGCAAAGGCAAAAGGTCTTTGAAAATTGAATGCGTGTGAATATTGCTCGAAAATTGAATATTTCCTCATACAAAATTGTTGTCGCAATTTTTCCAACAATTTCCCCACACTGTGAATAATGAAGAATTTTTTTTTTTTTCTCATTTTGCTTTCAGTGAGAGACAGGACACTGAACCCTCGTCCATGGCCGAGTCAGAGGATAAGTGAGAGGGGGCAAGGGGTGCGTGCGGGGTGCAGTCCACCCTAATGTTTCGCCGCGTCCTCCCGCACCCTCGTCTACAACAACATCTCCGACACCCGAATAATAATCGGAATGTGAGCCAGGATGAGAATGATGAGGAGGTAGAGGAAGAAGGTGAAGAAAGAGCTGAAGGTGAAGAAAGAGGTAAAGGTGAAGAAAGAGGAGAAAATTTCAGAAAAGGAGAAAGAAAAAGAAAAAAAGTAGGAGAAGGAAAAGGAGATGAAGAAGAAGATGGTGTAGAAGAAGAAGAAGAAGAAGTTGTAGAAGAAGAAAGAGAAGGAGAAGAAGATGATGAAGACGAGGAAGAGGCTCACCAGGACCAAAGTCTCGGGAGCTTAATGAGATTGCATGCCATTCATCGTGCCCTCCGAGCCACCCTTAGGGCCGCCACTTCCGCTGCAGCTGCCACTTACTTGTGATTAGCTCGTCAACCTAATTTTCAACTGGAAATGCACTCCAAGGTATCAACACTGTCTGCAAAGGCAATTGGTTCAAGGTTAGCATTAAGGCGACCACAAAAAATGCGATGCATTTTTAAAACCTCTTTTTATTTGTGCTTTATAACGAAATTAAGAATTTCGTGATTCCAAATTTTTTAAACATTAACGAAGAATTTATAATTTCCTTTTCTTTCGCGTTAAAAGCCGAAATTCGGCTGAAGAAATAAAGACCGTGGATCGATTCTTTTGCGACAGACACGAAAAAAGATGCAAATGTAACGATGCAAGATGAAAGGGTCACGATTTAGAAATCTTGCGCTCGGGCACTTAGTGCCCCAGCTCTCCGGACTTACTCCTCACAGACTCGTGATTTTGCATTCGCATTCAAGGCAAACTGCCGGAAACCATCTCGCGTTAAAAAGCGCTTTTCGTCTTTAAATTCCACTCTCAAGCCTCCTTTGGTTTCTTGAACGTGTCAAGTGCTGAATTTTCTCGTGGTCAGTCTTTTTTCTCCCCTCTAAATATTATTATCATTATCATCATCATCCAAATAGAAATTTAGTCTCTGGAAATTTTTTGTTTTTTTATTTATTTTTTTTTGTCGAGAAAGAAAAAGAAAAAAAAGTCAAACGTTTTACATGTTTAATGCTTCGATTATTAACTGCTCCTTTAAGTTTTCTCTTAAAGAAGACTTGAACATGGAAATAAGATAGAATTTTTTTTTGAAAGCAAAAATTGTATACGAATATCATGAATTAAATTGATAATCTCTAGAAATGGAAGATGATACACGAGGTATATTCAGCGGATTTTGACTGCTTCAATAAATCCACAAGGCTTTAGCGAAAGATGCGAAAGGTCTTTGGGAGTTAAGTCAGTTCATGTGTTCCCGATCTCTAACCGGATTACTAGTCTTACGTAGATTGTAATTCAGACACGATTTCAGATACTAATAACTTGGCTTTCAATTATAGATCAAAACTCGGATTTCAAGATCAAACTCAAAATCTATTGGAAAAAGAATGAATAAAGTAGGTTTTACTACTTTCGTATAGTAAAATTTATAACTGTCCGGAATGTTTGCTCGTTTCCGCAAATGCAGTAATTTTTACTGTTTATGAAGTAAATTTTACTATTTTCTGATCATTGACGACGTAGGTAAGTGAATTTTAGTTGAATTTGATAAACATCCCCGATAGAAATCAATTAAAGAGTTTTATTACTTTGTATTTTATTTGAAAAAAATTTCTTTTAGCCGAATTTCTATTCTTCGATTTGACCGAATCGGATTTTGACCGAATTTTCGTTTTTACGAATTTCTAATTTTGAGAATTTCAATTTTTATAAATCCAAAGTCGTTCGGCTTTTCATTTTTAGGAAATTTTTAAATTGAAGAATTTTCATTTCAGAAAATTTAAATTTGCTACAATTTTAATTTCAACAAATTTTTAGGTCAGTAAAATTTGTGATTGGTCAAATTTAAAAGTCAGAATTTTCCTTCGTCGAATCAAAGTTTGGCCGATTTTTGAATGAAAAAATTTACATTTCTCCGAATTTCGCCGAGTTTTAAAATATTTAAACTTTCCATTTCGCTGAATCTAAATTTGTTTGAATTTTCGTTTTAGTTGTTTTTTAAATGTAAAACTTTCCATTTCGCCGAATCTAAATTTGGCCGAATTTTTGTTTATGTAAATTTTTAAATAACAGAATTTTAATTCGCGGCATCAAAGTTTGGCCGAATTTTCGTTTCCGCCGATTTTTAAATGAATAAATTTCCATTTTGCCGAATCCAAAATTTAAGAGAACTCTAGTTTTCGCGAATTTTAAAATATCAAAATTTCCATTTCGACGAATCTAATTTTGGCCGAATTTTTGTTTCCTTAAATATTTAATTGTCAGCATTTCAATTCGTCGAATCAAAGTTTAGCCGAATTTTTGTTTTCGAAAATATATAAATGTTCGAATTTCCATTTCACCAAATAAAATTTCGTCTGAATGTTTTTTTCTGCAAAGTTTTAAATGCAAAAATTTTCATTTCGCCGAATTCAAATTTAAGATAATTTCAATTTTTGCGAATTTTAAAGTATTAAAATATCCATTTCGCCGAATCTAAATTTGGCCGAATTTTTATTACCGTAAATTTTTAAATGTCAAAATTTCAATTCACCGAATCAAAGTTTGGCCGAATTTTCGTTTCCGCCGATTTTTAAATGTCAAAATTTCCATTTTGCCGAATCCAAAATTTAAGAGAATTTTAGTGTTTGCGAATTTTAAAATATTAAAAGTTCCAATTCGACAAATTTAGCTTTTTTTTTACAAATTTTTAAATGCAAGAAATTTATTTCACCGAATAAAAATTTAGCCGAATTTTCGTTTCTGTTAATTTTTAAATGTCAGAATTTCCTAACCGCCGAATCTAAATTCGTCTGATTCTTCGTTTTTACAAAGTTTTAGATCAAAAAATTTTCATTTAACCGAATCAAAGTTTGGCCGAATTTTTGTTTTTGTTAATTTTTAAATGTCGGCAAATGAAAATTCGTAGAAACTAAAATTCGATTAAATTAGAATTTTTGTGCTGGAAAAATAAGTAAAATAGAAATTTTCAGGAAACAAAAATTCTCTTGAATGAAAAATATAACGTGAGATAAAAATTATGTTTAACAAAAATCCGTTTACATGGAAAAGAAATAAAATACGAATTTCAAAAATTAGAAATTAGAAATAAAAATAAGAAATAGAATTGAAAAATAAAATTTAGAAATAGTACCTAGGATTAAAGAAAAGAAATTTTATCAAATAGAATATGATATTAAAAGAAAAATCGATAAATTTCGAACGTGGAAAAATTTACTTCGGAAATGGTAAAAATTGCAAAAGCGGAAAAAACAGTTTTACTTGACAAATAGTAAAACTTATATTTTTCTCCGGGTTCTTAACAATTTTTTTTTCGCAAATTTCTTTTCAAAAATAATTTCAAGTATTACCTTACTTTTTTCCTATCGATTTTAATATTATATAGTAACAAGAACCTAATTTTTTATTGCAGGGAATTTTTTCCCCCTGCAAATTCTTTATTCTCCAAATGATTTCGAGATTGAAATATATTTTTGCCGCAAAAGAAATTTGAATAATAAACCTATAAAATGTCAAGCGCAAAAATAATAAATCATTAATCTGATTTCGTGTCTGATAACTGTGTTCGGTCGACGGCCTTTGACTGCCAACGGACAAAGTCAGCAAAGCAAGTTGAGTTAGAAAAAAAAAACAAAGAGGGGTGGAGAAAAAAAAAAGAAAAATTCTATGCGCGCTGTATGACGAGGTGTTTTGAAAAAAAAACTCGGCGAACCGAAATCCGAGATTAAATTCAAGAAAAAAATAGGATGACGGCCAACGCGAGAATCCGGCTGTGACGCTCCTTTATCATACAAGCGCAAATTTTCTTTTTCTTTTTCTTTAACATTCTATTTCCATGAAAATTATTTTAAAAAAAAAAATACCCTTATTGGCACGTTGAACGCAATCCATTTGTGCTTCGCGCCTACCCCCCAAAATACTTAGTGCAATAATTTTATGTTAACAAAAAAAAAATAATAATAATAATCTAAGCGTTAATTTCAAGTGGACGATAATGAAAAGAGAGTTATCTCTTTTTGCTCGCGGGGTTTTGGTCATAAATCTAGCCAGAAAATTGGGCATCCGTGATTTTTTCTTTTTAAGACGAATTGGTTGGCTGTGAGTTGCAGATCAAGGGGGACGAGAAAAAAATTTGGGACTTTGAATAAAAAAAAAGAAGAAAAAATAAAGATGATGACAATGATAAAAGTTAATAAATAATAATAATAATAAAAAGGATAAAAAAAAAATGTTTGAAAAATAGTGAGGGCAAGAAATAAAAAAAAAATGAGTGGGGGTGAATCAGCCCCCGGCCCTTCCGGGATACAAGGGTAGATTTCACATAGATCAGCCTAATATATTATTATATTAAATATTTCGAATAGATGAACATATTATATTATTTGTTGGGAGAGCATATTATTATATATTACATACATATTTAATATATATACATATATATTATATATATTTAGGATATTTATTTGTTGATTTGGTGATATATATATAATATATGATTTTATAAAAAGGCCAAGAAAACGGGGCCTATAAATACGTTATACGATTTATCGCATCGACACACGTGTCAAATATATATTCATTTTTTTTCGCGCAATGATACCAAAATATCTGTTACCGTCAAAAACAATCGCGAATTTCGTATACGTAACACTATTTATAACAAATAATGCACCAAATAATGCCAACATTCCTCGACATAAGGGCACCGAGTATAACGGCTTAGTCTTCATTTGTCTTTTTTTTTCTTTCAACTTTATCAAAAAGTTTATTTTATCAATTTTTACAAAATTTATATTCCTGGGATGCTAGGAAATATTTTATTTTTCAAGTTTCAAAAAAAAACTAGAAATGAATTTTATTTACTGTTTCATTTTTTATTAAAATAATTTTGTTTTCCTTCGCAAAAGGAAAAAAATTTTTAATTAAAAAGTAATAAACAGTATCATTTAATTATCATTTCAATTATCTTTTAACTATTTAATTTTTAATGAGAACGAAATTATTTCTGCTAATTAATTTTCTATGAATTGAAATAAATTTTAATGCTTCTTTTACGAATTGAATAAATTTTCTTTTTTTCTTCTTGAGTTTCCTTTTCCAAAAGGAAAAAATCAAAATATTAAAAAGTACTGAACAGTAAAATTTTATTTTACTCTCTAATTTTTTAATGATCGGAATTACTAATTTATAAATTAAAAAAATAAAGTTGTTTTGGAAAATTTTTCACTACTTTTCCACTAAACATGAAAGTAAATATTAGAGTAAAAATTACAATCAGCAAAATTTACTTCCGTTGTATAGTAAAAATTTATTCAACCGTAAATAGGAAAAGTTGCCAAAAATTTCAGAAAGTTTAAATTTTACTTTCTAAATAGTGATCACAATTTTACTTTCTATATTTTTTTCTGTTTTAATAAAATTTTTTTGTTTTTTTTTAAATTTTTTAAAATATAGTTTTTTGTTTAAAAAACTTTTTTACACAATTTTACTTTCTATATTTTTTTGTTTATGTTTTAAAAAAAATGTTTTTCTTCTTTCTCGAATAAAATGTTATTAATAATTTTATTTTAACTTTTACTTTTCTTAATTGGACTGACAGAAGAAATGTGATTTTTAAAAAGAATTGAATAAAATTTTTCGGCAATATTCATATTTTTTTGTTCTTTTCTTTTTGCATTAGGTTTAATAAGTGAGAAAATTGTTAAGTAATATAAAGAAATTTTTTATTTATGAGAAGTTGTGAAACTTTAAACTTCCAAAGAACAAAAAATAATTTATTATCGTGATTGCAATATTTTAATATTTGATAAAAATATGTAGGATTTAGAAATCATATTTTTTTTAAAAAATAATTTTGAAATAAAAAACTCTAAAATTTAAATTTAAAATTTAAATTCAAAATTTAAATTCAAAATTTAAATTGAAAATTTAAATCAAAAATTTAAATAAAAAGTTTTAATTAAAAATTTTAATTATAAAATTTTAAATGTTTAATGATTTCTTTAAAATTATTCTTCAATTATAGAAAAATATCTTTAATTTTTAATAGAACAATAAAATTTTGTTTTTTAATGAAAAATTTCTTGAGAAACTAAAAGTCAAGTTGTATTTTTTATTTATCTCTAAAACAGGATCCTTGAAATTTTAACTGAAAATTTAATTTGAGTTAAAAACATTAAATTTTATTTTAATTACTTTAATTTTAATTAAAATTTATTTAATTAAATTAAATTTAATGAATTTAATTTAATGAATTTAATTAAATTTAATGAATTTAATTTAATTAATTTAATTAAATTTAATGAATTTATTTGAAATTCAATAAAAAAAAATTTTTAAATCAGTGAAATTTTATTGATTCAGTTTTGAGAAAAATGTGATAGGGTAAAATATATAATTATGTATATAATAAGTATGGACGGAAATATTAAAAGTTGCTTATTTTTAATGTCAGCTATTGATGAATTATTTTTGTTGTAATTTTTTTTTTAAATATTTAAGCTTAATGTGCCATTAAAACTAAGTCTTTGAACAAGAATAGAGAATATTATTATAATTTTTATGATTATTATAACCATTATTATCATAATTGTAATAATAATTATTGTTACAATTATTATTTTTATAATTATTATTAAAATTATTTTTATTATTATTATTAGAATTAGAATTACAATTATTATTATTAGTGTTATTAATATTAATAATTTTATTAATTTTATTATGCATAGTTTAAAATCGTTAATATTATTGAATT